CATCCGGAGCCAAATAACCCCAGCGGACTTGTCTAACAGCCAGCGCCCGCCGGGAAGAGACTGTGCTCGGCGTCCTTGGCGTCTTCCTCCCGGGGAGCTCAGCCAGGCGACGCTCACCGGACCTCTACCCTTCTTTCAACCCAACAAGTCCCCCGGGGCCGATACACGGCTTTCCTTCACGAGCCAGCGTCTCGCCGTCGGGGCATCAGACGCGGAGAGCGTGAAGGGCCCGGGCTCCCATCTCACCCACCGGTTACCTCCCCGCTGATGCCTCTGGACAGCTGGCTCCGTGTCCATCTCCGACACCTCCTCAACAGGCTATTAGCAGGTTATAAATCCCCTTTTGTCCTTTTTTAATATTCTGCGCTATTCAGACAAGCATTTATATCCATTTTTCATTTCCCATTGAGCCAGGACTTTAAGTCACTTTATTACTTTTTTTTTTTTCCCCTCCACTTCCCTGAATCCAATGGGGAGCTAAATATATTAGTCAAGCACGAAGAATTTTATTAAATACACAAGCCCACGAAGTTCAATCCCCCTGAAAGACCAAAGCAGTCGGTTATTTGGTGAAATTCCCAGAGCAGGAGGAAAGGCGGACGATCTTCCCTCTCCCCATCCCCAAACGTGCTCCGTTCCTGGCACGGCCCCACGAGCAGCACCATTACCCTCCTGATGCACCCCGGCATGGCAGAAATGCCAGGCACGTCCGGGGCTCAGAGGAGCTGAGATCAATTGTTTCAATCAGAGATTTAAAAGGATGCTGCCAAGGTCAAAGAGCCCAAAATCTCCTGTGCCTTCTTCCTCTGGTATTTTTCTCATGTGATGCACACGCTGTGGTCCAGAGGAGACGTTTCAGGTATCTGCTCTGCACCGCAGTTGGGCACCAGACCAGAAACCTGGAGACCCGACTTCAGTGTCTGCAATGCTGCACCGTGACCTTGGTCAAATCCTTTAATCTCTCAGGTCCAGAGGTACAAAATCAAGGTGATGACCATCCCTTTGTCCCACCTTTTGCAATGCCAAATGCAAGTTTGTCCATCTCCAGATCCAACATCCAGAACAACCAACTCCTGCCTTTGAGCCTGGCCTCCAACAGTCACCGCGAAAACTCAGCCAGACACCAAAGAAACTCGGCAACAACGTCCCAGCCCGGGACCCCACTCTAGTAGACCATCGTGCACATCCCAGCCTCCGGCAGCCCCATGCACTAACAACCGCCCACCACAGCCCCAACCCCAGGAGCGGCCACAAACGCGGGTCAGTGCTTGCAACCTCAGCAGGAAAACCCCAAACTAGAAAAGCCAGCAGCTAACCCCAGCGCCAGGGGACACTTACCTTTGCGGGCGATCCGGATGCAGTTCAGCCGGGTTTCCTGCAGGGAAAAGAGATTGGGATGGTCAGTGCTCAGCAGCGCAGTCCAGCGAGCCCCGGGCGCAACGTTGGTCGGATACAGATCTGGTTTGCTGACGCTTTCTACAGCCAAATCAAGGGAGTTCCCACATGAGCTGTGTTAACCCGACCTGTTGCTCAGCCAAAGGAGCTCCTGGGGGGACCAAGACATGCAGTTAAATTCTCTGTCCCCCAATGTCCCCTAAATTCACATCCTTTGGTTTAACCAAGGCCACCGCTCTTGGCCCACAGGGGACAACAAAGCTTGGCAGCGCGTAAAGCAGGCAGAGCACCTGGAGGGACCCTGGAGGACCCAGTCGAGCCTTGTTTCACCAGCGTGTCACTGACTGTGGCTCAAACACTCCCAATTCATCGTTCATAGCTCTGCTGGGAGTGGGTAGGTTTTATTTTTTAGGGTCAAAGTTTTCAAAACCCATCCCCAGCGCTTTGTACGTGCTGCCAAGGTTCCCGTGCGGGCTTCAGCTCGGCCGTCCAACCGGATTCATCTCAGTGTTTTCCTTTTTTGGGAAGGGTTCAGCTGAAATATTCCAACTCCCATGCATCCCATTTCTGCTGCAAAAAGCCATTTCCGCAGGATTCCTCGCTCCACCTGTTCTGAGCGAGCCAGGCCCTGCGGCTGGACGGGCAAATGACCCTTGCCTCTCCCTCCGCGCCAGCCAGCCGGGATGCTGCGCTTGGTGCTCTCAGATTAGAGACCAGAAACATTGTCATCTCCTCCTAAACCCCAATGTCCTTCCAGGCCACCCATCCTTCCTACCCCCCCCCCCAAACCCCCCCCCAGCCGCTCCGGCGGCCCGTGCCGGAGAGGACGAGCGCTGCGCTTCGCTGTGCTGACATCCAGCATCCCTCCGACCTCAGAGCACGATGCCAAAAGCTGCCGGAAAAAGGGCCCGGCGCGGCCGAGGGCAGGGGGCTGCCAGCTGGAGCAGACGGATTCGCTTCTCAAGACTACTCCGACGCGACGGTCCACCTGGCACCACAGCCCAGAACAACCCGAGCCGGGATGCAGGCTTTTTCCCGCTGTCTGACGGCCTTCAGGGCAAATCCATTGCCCCCCAGCAGGAAGGCTGTAAAAACAGCCATCGGTTATTATCCAGCAGGGCTCAAGCGAGCCAGAGCCGAGACGCTCCCCGCT